CAATGCTTTTTGTGTATTCATATTGAGAAGCAGGTTTTCATAGTACTGTGTTATTATTAGTGCACTGTCCTTCAAGTGGAAGCCACTTTGGTGTCCTTTGGAGTAGAAATGGGTTTTCATGTATTTCATGCATAAAGATTTGACCTTGGATTTTATTTAGAAAGGTTAGAATTTCAACAGATATTGCTGGTCTTTTTTTGGGTTTAACTAGTATGGGAAATAATAAAGTGTTCTCTTAAAAAAAAAGAAACACTAACAATTGTAATTTCATGTATATCATGATATATTTTTTAGGCATTTTAAGACTGACAATGGGTAGCTGTACTATAACAAAAAATATGGCATCATTCATGATAGCATCTTTTACAGTAATTTGATTGTTGTAAGTATTCGAAGTATGTGCTAATTATCAATATTTTCTTAACATTAGGTAACATTTATACAGCCACCTCAGCATTCTGAAGTGTTCAGCGAACACACTGCTTTTCTCTTTAGAACCTGTTTTGCTCTCCATTTGTTTCCTAGTTTACCAAGAACATGAGAACAGAGGCTGTGTTTTTTAATAGCATACAACACAGTCCACTGCCCCACTCATGATCAGCATGAAAAAGAATATTTGAGAAGATAGGTGAATCATAAGTGAATGCTCCCATGTATATGGTGGCTGTTGGACCTTGCTGCTGGGAAAACTATACCACAATAGCACTTTCAATCACCCTTTCCTACATCTTCTGGACAGGTGTTTGTCATTGGCCTCTTTTCTTCTTTCAAACACTACTAACTTTCCATGGAAATTTCATTGACTCTTACAGAAAAGTCAATATCATATTATAATCGTTTTTCACCTATTTCTTTGGTGACAATATACAAAAAACACAGAGAAATGATTTCAAATTAATATTAACTATAAATTGAATCCAGTCATGAAACAGCTGGATTTATATATCATAATTAACCCTTGACTTGTTTTTATCTTGATGACCTTATCTACTTCATTTTTCTTTATCTAGACTTCCTTGCAAGGTGTTCACATTTCTTTCCTTCTTCTGTTAAAATCTTTCACCTTTGCATAGGTTACTGTAAAACCTTTTAATTATAAAGACTGACCTTTGTTGTTCCCAATTATTCAGGTAGAAATTTTATCTGTCACCAGATCTTTATTTTAAAATGTGTGTGCATGAAGACTGGGTTGCATCATCAAAAGTCACTACCATTTTTGATTATCCTAAAGGAAAAACAAATCCTACAATTATTTCAAAGTCTGTGCATATTAAGACATGTTTCCCTCCTTTCTGGAAAATGTGAGAAAGGTATACTTTCTCCACACATTCTCTTAGGTAAAATTAAACACTTGAGTATAGAGGCAGTTCAATATGGAAATGAATTGTATTCTAATGGAAGGATAGTTTCTTCTCTTTTAACTTAGCCATTATATTGGTTGACTAAAAAGAACAGATACTATTGATTAGGTGGCTTAAACAAGAGAATTTTTTTTCCCTCACAATTCTGGAGGCTTGAAGTCCAAGAACAAGATGTTGGCAGGACTGGTTTCTTCTGAGCCCTTCTCCAAGCTTTACAGATGGCCATTTCCTCCCTGTGTTTTCACTTGGTCTTCATTTCATTTCTATTGTTTCCTTGTCTCTTCTTATAAGGACACAGTCATATTGGATTAGGGCCCACACTAATGGCCTCTTTTAACTTAATTACTTGTTTGAAAAAACCCTATCTCCACATCATCACATTCTGAGGTACTGAGAGAACTTCAACATGTGAATTTGGAGAAGGATGCCATAACCCACAGCATTAATGATGTAAGCTCACTGCAATTGTACATGAAACGTCTGAGAACAAGATAGGAAAGCAGTTTAAGGGAAAGAGTTGCTAAGAACATCAAAAGTCACTACGCAACTGCCATTCTGTCATTCTATAGGGACTACAGAGATACATGTAGCAATAGCGAATGATGGTGATTTAAATTGTGTAGTAGTAATGAGTGATTATATAGACAGTTTACATAAGCATAGTGGAATTTTTTTTTTCTTGGATTGAATGAAAAGGGTACAAAAGAAATGATTTCCGATCGTTTCATTTATTCTTTAAGAACTATGAGCCTCAAACCACACACTGCTACATATAAAGGCAGATCCAATGAGAATATTTTGGATATATATGTGTATTACTTTCAAAATAAAGATAGTAATTCACCTACTATGCAATGTCTCCATGACATGCATTTGTAATGAACTGGGTCTTTCACTTCAAGCGCACCCAGAAAAATCTAATAGCTCATCATCTCTGTAATCATCTTTGCCACTTCCTAGTTGAGGAAATAACATTTTATTATAAAATTACAACTTATGTAATTTTGATTTCTACTTTCTAAGATAAGAAAACAGAATTCTAATTTGGGACAAGAGTAGAAATAGCATAAACTCTCTTCTTAAAGCAGAAGAAACCACTGTCAGAAAAAAATGGTGGACACACTTTAAAATATTTCAGAGACACTCCGTCTTTGCTCATCACAGATTAAAATGAGGTTAAAAAACTAATGTCAGGTAGGGTTTGCCTGAGAAAAGGGCCCTACATGGCACTAGTACAAGAACAGGAACTAAAATCTATAAATAGAAAGATGATGGATTCCCCCACCACCCTATTGCAATAAGTAGGCAATTGGTCAAGAGTAAAAGTATGTGGTTATGATCCATGTCATCATATTCCTCACAGTTTCTCTCTCTTCCACATGTTGAATTCTCCTCATGCACAGTGTGTGGTTCTTATTTGTTGTGCCATAAGATCTTAGTTATCAGATCTCTTTCCCCCATTACAGATAAGTCTGATTATTACCTAAATGGTATTTCCTCGAATTTCTTTCCAGTTTCTTCTTCACTTTATACCACTAATGGTTGTGTTTTCCTATTTTACAATTCAGAAGGTTATTTCTATACTCAGGCTAATAACTAAGTAGGCTTAGAAACAGGGAGGATAAATTGCATGGCTTGTGCCTTGTTTCATATAAGGATAACAAACTTCTTGTGTGCTTAGGTGTTGGGTCTGAAGGAAAGTTCCAGGGCATTCAAGGGACTGTATTAACTCCTAGAATGATGTGAGACTCTTCCTTTCTGTCATACCACCTTTTGCTCTTGTTGTGGTGAAGTTCGGGTTGGGGTGAAGGTGTGCCATCTTTGTCCTTAGAGGTGTATCGAAGGGGCCTTGTTATTGCTGCACACATGGACTATTTAAGAGTTAATTTTAATACGTCAGAAGAGTTCAAGAATGAATTTTCAAAGAAATGAGGAAGATTTGTTACCTTCAAATCCGAAATCTCCATGATATAAAACATCACTCTTAAAAGATGATCAAATTATCCTTGAGTGACCAGATCCAAATGCTGAGCACCACACAGTCTCCCTTTACCATGAGGAATAGGGTTAAAATTTTCTTTCCAATGACAAATCCCACCCCGGAACAGATTTCAGCCAGGCAGCTAGCAAAGCTCGCGGGTGAACTACGCAGGCCATGGTGGGTGCAGAGCTCAGAGCCGGAAAGCAAACAGCTGCTGTAGCCTGATTTGAGTTAAAATAGTGTGAGTGTTTAGTCTGGCGCACGGCTTCAGGGGAGATTGGCAGCTGGGTCAAACAAAGTCCTTCCATTGGCTCCCTTCCCAGGCAGCTTCTGCTAGTATTTAGGTACTAGTGCCGTGTAGGGCCCTTTTCTCAGGCAAAACCTAACATCTGACCGCACCCTCTTTGCTATTTCAAAAAAAAAAAAAAAAAAAAAAAAAAAAAAAAAAA